ATGTACTTTATTTCTCCTCCAATGTATCTATTCAAAACATTGGGATTATTGTAGTCTCATTAATCATTAATATTTACCCTAATTGTCTGCACACAACAAGAACATCTTGAATACTCCAGCTAGATGAACAAATACTTCCCCAAGCCTGACTGATACATATCTCAACTCTACCATCATCTTCTGTAATACCATCAACCAGTCTAACTTGACCATTAGTGCAATTGGCTTGATAAGCAGTTCCTTTACATGAATGTATAATAGTGCTTCATTGCTATATAGATCTAGTAATTTAAACTTACTTTGACATACAACACTGGCATCACTATGAGACTGGCAGTTGTGTAGTGCTGCATTGCTGTAAGAACAATTGAGCAAAAAATCTTCATCACCAGTACAATTGAGTTCAGTGATTCCAAATGAGAGATGGCTTTCAGTATAACAGTCATATTCAGGTAATGCACCTATGCATCAAAAATAGGAATTATATCTAATACTTAAGCCTAACCATATACTGAAAATCCAAGCTGTCTACAGATAACTTGTGCATCTTTATAGTCCCAGCTTTCATCACATAGTGTAGTCCATGTATTCTCTACACACAATTCTACTCTACCAACATTAGTAGCATCAGTATGAGTATTAACTAGCCTCACTGCCCCATTCTCACAATTTTTTATTTCTGTTAATACAACAAATGTGAAAGACTAATATTGAATTCTATTTACTGACCCAAACAAGCAGCTCCAGCTACTGCACCATCACCACAATACCGAGCAGCTTGATCAAAGCTATAGCTACAGCTTAGAAGAGAAGACTCATATCCACGACAATATACATTGGAAATAAGATGAGGATTTGGTCCATTTCCAAAATAACTAGAGCGAAATGCAGTTGCACCTGTATAAAAAAATTATCTAGGCAATTTTCAAATATACATGCACTTGTACTAAAAATTCAGTAATTTACCAAATGTTTTCACTTAAAATTAATATCTATGCAGTAATAAATTTAAATACCTGTAGCTTGGTATCCTAGCTGTCTACAGAGTACATTAGCATCAGTTGTATCCCATGAGCTATCACAGACTTGTCCCCAGAAATTATTGTAACACATTTCAATTCGTCCTTCGGCATCATTGATGCCACCAATCAAACGTACATCACCATCAGAACATGTTAAATCAATATTGCCTGTTGTGTTAACTATAATGATAGGTAAATTCATTGCATTGTCTACAACAAATACATCTACCTTGACAAATTACAGCTGCATCAAAGTAGTTACTACATGAATATGAACCTGTGACAATGAATGGACAGCTTAATACTCTTTCCTCACTACCAGTGCAATTCAAATCATAAATAAACTCTGGAGCACTAGGAGAATAGTAATGAAGTAAAACAGATCCTGCAGATTTAATGAAAATTATTTAACTAGAATCATAGATTACCATAGGGAGAATAGCCCAATTGCTTACACACAACACTGGCATCATAGGTATCAAAGCTGTCTCTGCATATAGTTCCCCATTCACTACTGATGCAAAGTTCTACCATACCTATATTAGGATAACCAGAACCACTTAGACGTATTGTTCCATTTTGACAGACATCTAGAAATTGCTAATCATTGCACAAAAAGTAAAATTGTTACCACGGCAAGTCACACCAGCATAATCACCATAGTAGTACCAAGAGGAACTATAGCAACTAGCAACATATTTTGAACATTCAAAGAGTGAATTATCATTGCTACTACAACTGAACTCATAAGGATATAATGGAATATCTTGAAGATCCACAAAATTGCTTCTATATTCTGTGTCTATGACAACAATATACAATTATTGCCACAAAATAAATAGAAAACCTCGTTCATATCCTATGCTATCACAGACAACTGAGCCCATACTGTAATAACTATCTCCACATACACCATACCACACATTGCTATAACATAATTCAACACGACCTTCTATGTTACCAGATAATCTAATTTGACCAGTTGTGCAGTTGGTGTAATTGACTGATGATGCTGTGAAAGAAGAAACTATTAAAAGTATAATGCTGGCCTTTAACTTACTATAACAAGCAACTCCAGCATAATAATAGTTTGAAGTGCAAGTATGCTGTCCTATTAGAGCATTCCTGGGACAGTTTGAGATGTTATTTTCACCACCAGTGCAGTTCAAATCAATAATATCAATATTAATTGCTCCAGAATAATAGCTATTTTTTATTGCTATTGAACCTAATGAAAATAGATCTCTTAGTGTCTGCAATATATTATAATACCTATTGATGAGTATCCCAGTTGTGTACAGGCAACAGCAGCATCATTGTCATCAAAAAAATCTCTACATATTACTCCCCATACACCATTAACACAAACTTCCAATCTACCAATTAGCTTTGAATAGCTGCTATATGGGATGATTTTAATTTCTCCATCAGTACAATCTGTTGATGTTGTGTATAGCAGTCAAAAATTACAAACAATAGACTTTTCTTACTATGACACCTAATGGCAGCCACAGTTCTTCCATCACATCTTGAAGCCCTTGTGAAGTGAGAAAAGGAACACTGAGTAATTAATGTATCGGTGCTGGAACAACCAAGATCAGTTACCATAAGTACATCATTCTCTGCTACTTGCCCCTTGTATAGTGTATTAACTGTTAAATAAGTTAAATTATTATAAATTTTATTTAATTTTAACTGTCACCTCCTGTTGAGTATCCTAGTTGTGAACATACCACTCTCATATCATTGTGATCAACAGAGCTACTACATAAAAGTCCCCATACTCCATTGATACCATATCTGAACCTTTCCTTCATTAGGACTATCTCCACCAACTAACTGAACATCAAAGTCAGTACAGTTTGAGTACTGAGCATTCAAGTCTAAAAATAGAACCACAATAATTATAATTTAAAATATGACTTTATTTATACTGTGGCATATTACAGCAGCATCTTCATGGCTGTAACAATTTGAACCAGATCCAAGTTCTATGCTGTATGCACAGTCCAACAGGCTAGATTCATTTCCAGTACAGTTAATACTGTAAATATGGTGAGATAAATAATTTTCAGTATAATAGCCTGTCTTTGATATAGCACCTGATGAAATTGTATAAGTTAAGAATACACTTATTAGTATTACCAAAAGGAGAGAATCCTAGTTGTTTACAGAGCACAGTAGCATCATTACTGTCCCAATGATCATCACATATTGTGCCCCAAGTATTGTTAAAGCAAATCTCAACACGACCAAAATCAGTGTATCTACTGTCACCCTTTAATTGCACATCACCATTTGTACAAGGACCTAATGCATAATAATTGAAGTAAAGAATTATAATATGCAAATACCTTCACATAGAACACCAGCACCATAAGAATAATGGTTGCAATTATAAGTGTAATATGAACAACTGAGTAAATTTGTTTCTGAGCCTGAACAGTAAAACCGTGCATTGTGAAATTGTCCTAATCCAATGCCAAATGAATTAAAAGCTACAGCACCTACAGTATAAAAAGGCATTAAAAGTACATGAGAAGAAGTGGGCTTACCATTTGCAGTGTAGTTTAGTTGTCTACAAGCAACTCTTGCATCACTAGTGCCCCAACTGGAGGGACATATTGCCCTCCATGAGTTACCGTAACACAGTTCAACACGACCTTCATACTGTGACTGACCACCAATTAATCTGATATCACCAGTTGTGTTACAGTTTCTTTCTGTGCTAGGAGCTATTTCATAATTATGAGTAAGTGGAATTCGAGAGTGAAAAATTAAATGTACCTGTACAAGTTACATAGGCATCATCATATTGATTACAGTTCATGGACTGAACATTGCTATAAGAACAATTGAACACACTTTCCTCAGTTCCTTGACAACTGAGATCAGTAATATGAAAAGACTTATATCCTTCAGTGTAGTCATTTTGACCAGCAATAGCTCCTGAAAATATTAGTATCATTTCAAAATGTCAGTTATTATAGGCTGGATCTATACTAGTGCTAGTTGATGTATTAATTAGTTGCAAGATCCAAACCTGATTGCTTACAGGAAAGGATCAACAATTAAGTAATTTATTAAATTTGCTCTTTCTTTAGGTTCTTAAAAATTGCCAACAAAAGTCAATTTTAGATACAGAATAAATGGAACCAATGCAGTGTAAAAATTATACAATGTGTGAGTTTGGATCTAAAACTCCCTTTTAACCTTGATCTGAAAATCCTAATTGTCTGCAAACAACAGTAGCATCATTATTATCCCAGTTGTTATCACATATAGTGCCCCATGTCTCATTAAAACACAACTCTACTCGACCAATGAGAGGATTAGTAGAGCTACCAATCAGTCTGATGTCACCATTGGTACATGGAGCTACACAGAAACAATATTGCACTATTGCGTGGCATACCTTAGCATAAAACTTACATTGACATCTGACACCTAGGTCATAATAATGGTCATTAAATGATATAATTTGATAGCTATATTGTCTGCATTCAAGCAAAGAAGTGGCTGTTGAAGGGCAGCTCCATACATCAGACATGAGTATAGGACCAGCACCTTTACCATAGTATACATAACTAACAGAAG